ACCAAAAATGACATGACCGCTGTGCCCCACCCTCCCTATTCACCAGATATCGCCCCAAGCGACTTTTTTTCCTGTTTCTCCAGATGAAAAAAGTCCTCAGAGGGAAACGTTTTGCCAATGTGGAAGAGGTGAAACAAAAAATGACAGAAGCACCAAAAGGCATCCAAACTGATGAGTTCAAAAACTGTTTTGAGCAGTGGAAAAAGTGTTTCAATAGGTGTCTTGCATCAAATGAAGAATACTTTGAAGGAGACTGAAGTTTAAACATATAAGAATAAATAAACAATTTTTAACAAATAAATTAGTTTTTTGGGGGTCCCCCTTCTATATAGTAAACCAAATGACACTTCATTTGTCATCTATATTGAGTGAGTGAGAGGCACAGTGGTGTAGGGGGAAAGAGAGAGAGAGAGAGAGAGAGAGAGAGAGAAGATTTTTTCCCTTTTTGCCAAGAAACAAAACTGTTTCTTTTGTTAAAAAAAAAATTAGTAAATACAGAGAAAAAGAAACAAAAATTCTCATAGTCCCACACTTCTGTTCAAACCTTAGCATGTAGCCAATAGACTATTTAAAGGAAAAATAATTATGCAAAAACACATAAACTTCCTTATTTCTCTGTAGTTGAACATAACTGTTAAACCCCCATTTCTGAGAATGATGAAAATTTAATTTTGTTCATTCAAAGTAAATTTAGTCACTTCTAATTTACAACTCAGTCTCCTCTAGGTAACCACTTGGTCCATTCAGGGTTCTCCCACCTGGCTGCTGTGTCATGGCATTTGGAAGGTGCACACAACCCTCAGGTCTCTGCTGCAAGGCACTGAGGATGGAGCCGTCAGCCTCTTTGTCCTGGGAGATTCCATCCTTCCAAAACTGGCTCCAGAGGAACCTGGTTTTCTAATCCATGAGTGTCACCTTCTTTCTTCCGCGTCCAACTGTCAAGAGCACCCAGGCTCAGCTGGCACATCCAGGTTATTCTAGATATCTCTTCAAGACACAGGACACTTTAGCACCACTCCCATCCTGACAGAGACTCTGGAGAGAGTTTAGAGAATCTCTGTCTAAATATCCCAGTGGACTTTTCTACTCTGCGCAGGCTCAGGACACTCAATGAGGCTATTTTTGCCCAGAATTTCAGACAGGAAGTAGGACACAGGTCTCTGAGCTCTTTCCTCCAGTGCGCACTGCCCGTGTCTCAGAAAGGAGCAGAGTGGGCAGAGCCCTTCTTGGGCCCCCACCCGTGGCCTCTGACCCTAACTTCCCTCCAGCTGGGAAGACTTTTATCTCTGCATGGATAAGAAAAAAACTGCTCTGATACCATCTTGTGTTCTTCACCAATTCATGGTTTAGGATATAAATTTTGTGCTTTGAGTCCTCCAGGCCCTTCTCTTTATAGTCAAAGCCAAGCTTTTGGCATTAAAGAAACAAACAAAATAAAAATAAATCCAAATGTATTTTTATATAGACCACACAAACTTAGTGGCTTAAACAACACGAAGTTATTTTCTTACAGTTCTGGAGGTCGGGTGACCAACATGGGTCTCACAGGGCTAAAATCAAGGTGTTGGCAGGGCTGCATTTTTTTCTGGAGGCTGAAGATTCTATTTCCTTGGTTTTTCAGCCTCTGAAGGCCACCTGCATCTCTTGGCTCGTGGCCTCTTCTTGTACTTTTAAAGTCAGCAGCACAGCATCTCCTAGTTTCATTCTGACTCTGACCTTCCTCTTCTCTTCTGCTTCCCTCTTCCACCTTTTTTATTTTAAGAGTCAGGGTCTTGCTGTGTTGTCCAGGCTAGAGTGCAGCAGCTATTCACAGGTGCAATCACAGGTGTGATCAGGAGTTTTGACCTGCTCCATTTCTGACCTGGACCAGCTCATCCCTCCTTAGGCAACCTGGTTGTTCCCTGCTTTCTGGAGGTTACCACATTGATGCTGAACTTAGTGTGAACACCTGACTGGCATAGAGAGCTATAGCCCAGAACTCCTAGGTTCAAGCGATCCTCCCACCTCAGCCTCCTCAGTAGTTGGGGCTACGGGTATGCACTACAACACCTGGTCCTTTTTCACTTTTTTTTTTTTTAGTAGGTGTCTCACTCTGTTACCCAGGCTGGAGTGCAGTGGCATGCTCATAGCCACTGCAGCCTTGACCTACTGGGCTCAGGCTATCCTTCCACCTTAGCCTTCCAAGTAGTCGGAACCACAGGTGCACACCACCATACCCAGCTAATTTTTGGATTTATTGTAGAGATGAGGTTTTGCCAAGTTGCCCAGGCTGGTCTTGAATCCCTGGACTCAGGCAATCCTCTCACCTCCGCCTCCCAAAGTGATGGGATTACAGGCATGAGCCACTGTGCCTGGCCCATTTTCACTTTTAAGATCCTTGTGCTTTTTTTTTTTTTTTTTTGAGTTGGAGTCTCACTCTGTCACCCAGGGTGGAGTGCAGTGGCATGCTCACAGCCACCCCAGTGTCAACCTGCGACTCTGGCAATTCTTCCGCCTCAGCCTTCTAAGTAGCCAGAATTACAGGCATGCACTACTACACCTGGCTAATTTTTTATTTATTGTAGAGACAAGGTCTTGCCAAGTTGCCCAGGCTGGTCTAGAACCTGCGGGCTTAGGCAATCCACTCTCCTCGGCCTTCCAAAGTGCTGGAATTACAGGCTGAGCCGCCGAGGACCCTTGTGATTACACTGGGTTCATCTGAATAATCTAGGAGAGTCCTTCTTTTGAGGTCAGCTAATCAGAAACCTTAATTCTATCTGCAATTTGAATTCCCCCTTGTTATGTAACATAACATATTCACAGGTTCCTTGGGTTAGGATGTGAACACCTTTGAAAGAGGCCATTATTCTGCTCATCACACCAAATAATAATTACTTTGTCAAAGGCTTGATTAACGTGATCAAAAACCATGGCTTCCAAGATCACAATCTTTGCTATTGATTTAACAAAGTCTACTTAGGAATTCTAAAGTCAATGATTTGACTTAAAATATATATTTTTTAAATTTAAAAACTGTTCTATCACTCTATAGATGGAATGAATTGAAGGCTATTACTATTTAGGGGAATTGTGGGGGTAACAGAATAGGTGGTGAAAGGCCCAGAGGGATATTGGGGAGCTCATGGTGAAAATAAAAAACAACAACTCAACTTTATTTTCCTAAATTTAATCTTGTTTCATGTATGCAGATCATACTATATGTCCTGTTTTTGTGAATGGTTTTATTCACTTAGCAGTATGCTGCAGACATCTTCCTTTTTGTTGTTGTAGTTGACAGGATTTCACTCTGTTGCCCAGGATGGAGTACAGTGGCTCAATCCCAGCTCACTGCAACCTCAACTTCCTGGACTCAGACAGTCCTCCCACCTCAGCCTCCTGAGTAGCTGGGACTAGTGTGTGCCACTGCACCTGGCTAATTTTTGCATTTTTTTGTAGAGACGAGGTTTTGCTATGTTGTCCAGGTTTAGATGTCTTTCTACCGCAATCAATCTTACTTTATCACATCATCTTAATTTCTGTAAAGCATCCCCTAGTCTGTCTAGACTGTTGGCCATTGTTGCTGCTGTTGCGTTGCTGGGTATCACCAAGATGCAAGGCCAGTTTCTGGCCCTTGTGGTGTTCATGGCATGGCTGCAGCATCCTTCAGGGATGCAGTTTCAGGGCCTGGGCAGTTAATCAGTTAATGAGAGCAAGGAAGGGCTGACAGCTGGGAAGTGCCAGCCCTGGGTCCCAATTCTCACCCTGGGGTGGGGATGGCTCTTGGGGAGCTGTTCTGACTCCAGGTGCTGATAGTGAGGCTTTCCTGGCAATGTGCAACACTGCCTTGAGAAACAACTATCTAAGTTGTGTGTGTGTGTGTGTGTGTGTGTGTGTGTGTGTGTCTCCCTCCCTCCACCGTGTGTGTGTGTGTGTGTGTGTGTGTGTGTTTGTGAAGGACACAGTGACCTGAAGGTGGGTTAAGTGATGGGCTGTGACCCTTTGGAGCCCTGAGGGGTGACATCCATCAAGGGGCCAGAGGCAGCCATGGCAGGGGGCCTGGTCACAGCAGGAGGCCCATCCCAGAAAGACTTGAGACTTGGAGCCCCTGCTGGTGACAGGTAACTCAGGGACTAGACCAGTGTCTATCTCGCTTGCTTTTCTCGTGGTTTTTTCTCTCTTTAGCACACAGAGCAGGCTTTCCCTTCAATCCAATCTCACATCGCCATATCTTGAAAATTGTCACCCTCTTCAACCAGAAGTGTGAATATCATTCTCCATGTTCAGCTCTGTGTGTCCCCTTATTGTACATTCCTTTGGTCTTTTAACCTTGGAGATCCAGGGATTTATTTAACCCATCCATCCAATGGGTCATTTAAAAGAATAATGTCTTGTCCAAGTTCAGAAATAAAGTCTCCTGGTATGAGAAGACAAACAGGGGAAATTGAGTAGGTTGAAGCATTTTATAGCCTCACCAGCTGGGGCTCAAATTGCTTTTCCTTTTGTCCCTTTTTGTCTTGACATGGGTGGGGGTCAGAGTGCCTTCTGTGTGTCTTGATTAAAGTCAGCCTCCACCTTCCCCCGAGCCCAGCCGCCCTTCTGGGGACACAGGCTGTATTCACCACGAGAGGCTGTGCCCAAGCCCCACAGATTTTATGAAAGGCGTTTTCACTTGGATTAAACAGGCGCAGTGTTTGTGTGTGGTGTGTGAGAGGGAGAAAATGAATCACTTCAACTTTGGGCAAAGATTTTAGGTGTTATGTTTGTCCCATGCAATTACATAAACACACCAGAAGTCATTAAAAAGAAAAGTGGGGGGTGGGGCCGAGACTCAAGCGCCCAGGATGATCTAAACAGTGCGGCACATTTTCCATACATTCGACCTCAGAAACAGTTGTGTTCTGCCCTCTCACAACAAACTCAAGTCCAAAGGAAAGTTTGAGGTTTTACATTTCTGTTTGTGGTGCAGGAAAAGGCTTATGATCTGAGGGCTTGATTCAGTGAAATAACATTGCCTTTATTCACATTTGCTTCTCAAGGAGGGCAGGCGTTGGAAGCGACCGTTGTGAAACGTTAAAGATTTTCTGGCAGAGGGAAAGGGATTTTTTTCCCTTCCCTCCCTGCCGAGGAAAAAACAGTTCTAACGAGAAGTTACTTTGTAGTTTTAACTCATATCCAAATACTCCCAGGGTAGAAACTGTGGGCGATCTCCCCCTCCCGGACTCCTGATTGGGGTTTGGAGGAACTTTTCACGGAGCGCTGTCATCCCCGGAGCTGGTGGCGATGAGTCTGCAGAAGAGAGTCTTCCCGAGGAGGGAGAATGGTAAGTGAAGCTGCCTCTCCTGTCTCAGGGCACTCATGGGAGGTTGAGATGGAGGGGCTGACCCTGCCCGACATCCTCCCAGAGGAGTGGACGCATGGTTTGGCTACTCAGTGTAGTGTGGGAGCGAGTGTGTCCATGTATATGCGTGCCATGTGAGTGTGTACACACGTGAGTGTATTGAGTAGTGTTTGCACACGTGCGTGCGTGCACGTGTGTTGCAATAGGACATAGCGCCTGTCTGTCGTTGCAGAGGCTGGCTGAGAGCGCGTCCTGTGTTGGACGCAGAAGTGAGGGCAGAGTGCAAGACCCCCATGGGTATATGAGAGTGAGCCCTGGCCAGGGGCAGTGGCTTTCCACGTGCCCTCGCTTCCTCTTCGAGAGGCAGGGGCATTGGTGCCTGGATGCTGTAGCTGGGCTCCAGCTCCAGCAGGAAGCAGCACAGAAGAGGGAGCTGCTCAGCTCCTGGAGGGAACCTAGCGCAGGTCTCAGGGATCTGAGAGCTGGGAGGGGCCTCCGGGTACCTGGCCTGAGCCCCTGCCTTCCTGCAGGTACAACCCCGCACGTAAGAGAGCTTTCTGTATGACAGCCTTCCTTTGTTCCGGAAGCATAAACAAACAAGCACTGGGGCAAAGGATTTTAACCCTTCTGCCCAACTTTTAAAGTCAACACTGGCGGAACTTCAGCTCTGTTGTAACTTTGGCATAAGAGAGTAAACACATGGTTTTCTTTAAAAAAGGAGAAGGAGGCGAGTCAAAGGCATATTCTGACGTTTCCAGTTCCAGGAAGATATGGCTAGAACCCCGGGACCCATTTGGTTAGGTTCCATTAAGGCATCCTCTGAATTCAGAAGAAAGGTGGTGGGTATAAACCTCGGACTGTGGGGTCTAGCCATCTGAGACGGAGTCTTGGCTGCAAGGGTGACAGGCTCTTTGATCTTGAGAAAGGTATTTAACCATGCTTGGGCTCACTTTTCTCCTTTGCAAAGCAGCGGTCATAAATTCCTACCTCACAAGATAGCAGAAGCAGTAAATGAGTCAAAGTTGGTGAAATGCTCAAAACAGCATACACATACAGAGAACATGTCAGTCCTCATAAACATGTTGCCCCCCTATGTTGACACCGTGACTGTCACAGCCACCTAGGGCTTAAGGATCAAAGAAAGAGGACTCAAGGGCCCAGAGTAGCCCTGACTCCCTCTGTAGCAGAAAGTGGGGTGAGTGTTCAGACAATCTCCCTCTGGAGACAGACTGTAGGGACACATTTATTTACACTGGGGAATCTTCGAGGCTGGGACTTGACCTGGTATCTAGTAGGTGCTCAATGTGTGGTGAAACCATTTTATTCAGTTGTATTTACAGGGAGATGTTACCACTTCCTGGCCCTGGCTGCATCGCCTTTGGTTAGACTTCCTTGGTAACAGATGCTGGGACAGAGATTTGTGTATAGGAAGTTCATCAGCAAGTGTTCTGGGAACCACGCCTGCGTAGGGCGAGGGAAACAGAACCGGACACAGATGGAGAAGTTGGGTTGTGATCCCAGGGGCTTTGTGCCCCTGCAATGATCAGTTGTTGCATGTAGGCTGCCCAGGGACTGGGGCATGACCTTGGGCAGCTGGTTGAGGGCAGTTCCTGGATAGGGACTCAGCTATGAGTGTCACAGGCTACTCTGTGTCAGCTGTGGGAATGGATGTCTCAGTTCTGAGGTTAGGGATTCATCAGGGCAATGCCCCACAACATCTTCTCAGTATATTTTTTGGAGTGCCTTTTTTCTCTGCATTCAACAGTTAAAAGGTTGGGCATTAACATGCAAGGACACCTGTCCAGATAAATTCTTGCACAGCAGTGTGACCTTGGATAAACTCCTTTCCATATCTGGACCTCAGTGTCCTTGTCTACCAAGTGGACGGAAGGTATTGGACTAGAGATGACTTCTAAGAACTCTCCCAGCTCTGCCATTTCACACGCACATACAGAATCTTTTTTTTTTTTTCTTCCCTGAGTCAGGGTCTTGCTGTCTTGCCAGGCTGGAGTGCAGTGGCACAATCATGGCTCACTGCAGCCTCAACCTAGGCTCAGGCTATCCTCCTACCTCCAGCCACCTGAGTAGGGGGTACTACAGGTGCATTACAACACACCTGGATAATTTTTTGCTCTTTTATTGAGACAAGGTCTTGCTATGTTGCCCAGGCTGGTCTCAAACTCCTGGGCTCAAGCAATCCTTGGCCTCGGCCTCCCAAAGTGTTGGAATTATGGATGTGAGCCACCACACTGGGCCACATATGCAGTCTCTCTCTCTCTCTCTTTCTTTCTTTCTTTCTTTCCTTCCTTCCTTTCTTTCTTTGTCAGAGTCTCACTATCACCCAGGCTGGAGTGTAGCAGCACACACAGCCACTGCAGCCTCAACCTGCTGGGCTCAGGTGATCCTTCCAGCTCTGCCTTCCAAGTAGCTGGGACCACAGGCATGGGCCACCATGCCTGGCAAATTTTTTGATTTATTGTAGAGACGAAGTCTGATCAATTTGCCCAGCCTGGTCTCAAACCCCTGGGTTCAGGCAATCCTCTCACCAAGGCCTCCCAAAGTGCTGGGATTACAGGCAAGAGCCACAGCACCCAGCCATGTATGCGGTTTTTAAGCATGTGGCTACGGTGGTTGGTTGTGTCCTCGATGGTAATTCGGTCGCCCAATCTCTGCCACAGGTACCTCATTTCCTTCTGCTGGAAAATAGGAATCAAGACACCTGAGGATCCTTGAGACCTGGCTGGCTGCCATCAGAGAGGGGCTGGGCCTGTGGGATGCAGAGGAGGCTCTGCATAGGGTTGAGGGGCGGGAGTGGGGTTGGAGAATTCCGCCACACACCTTCCCCCCTCCCCGACATTTCTCTTGGGGAGAAAGTAAAACCGCACAAGTCACTGCCACATGTCTTTGATAGTTAAGAGCTTTGTAACGTTACCCGGGACACACATGGATATAGCTGGATTTATTTTATTACTCTCCCTCTCCTCCCAATTTTCTATTTATTTTTCAATATACAAAGAGTGAAATCACTTTCTCAAACACTTGGAATTCATTTTCAACAAATTATTTGGAGCATTCTATGCTCTGGGCACTGGTGCTGGGCTCTGTGGATCTTACGGGACACATTAAACAAACAATCTCATACACATAAGTATAACAACAAAGAGGGTTAAGTGCTATGAGAAGCTTTAACAAGGAACTGGCCTAATCTGATGAATCAGGGTGGGCTTCTCTGAAGAGGTGTTGTTTCAGTTGTTTTCTGAAGACTGTGTGGGAGTTAGATCAGGGGCAGGGATGGAGAAAAAAGCTCTAGGTAAAGAGAGCAACCCATTGTAGTATAGAAATGGAAAAAGAAATTTGTTTCAGTTCTTACCAGCATAACCCAGCCACTGTGAACAGTATTAGATGTTTTAGAGTATTTCCATCCCGTCTGTTTTTTTTAAAGCATCTTCAAAAAAATAATCATGGCAGGTTGGGCGCGGTGGCTCAAACCTATAATCCCAGCACTTTGGGAGGCTGAGGTGAGTGGATTGCCTAAGCCCACAGGTTCGAGACCAACCCGGGCACATGATGAGACCTCGTCTCTGCAATAAATAAAAAAGTTAGCCGGGTGTGGTAGTGCTAGCCACTAGTTCTGGCTACTTGGAAGGCTGAAGCAAAAGGATCGCCGGACCCCAGCAGTTTAGTGCTGGGGTGGCTGTGAGCCTGCCACTGCACTTCAGCCTGGGTAACAGAGTGAGACTCCAACTCAAAATAAATAAATAAATAAATAAATAAATAAATCATGGCAGTTAGGCATGGTGGCTTATGCCTGTAATCTCAGCACTTTGGGAGATGGAAGAGAGAGGATTGCCTGAGTCCAGGGGTTCGAGATCAGCCTGGGCAACTTGGCAAGATCTCATCTCTACAATAAATCAAAAAATTAGCTGGACATGCTGATACATGCCTGTGGTTCCAACTACTTGGAAGCCTGAGGTGGAAGGATAGCCTGAGCCCAGCAGGTCAAGACTGGTGACTGTGAGCGTGCCACTGCACTCCAGCCTGGGCGACAGGGTGAGACTTCAATTCAAAACAAACAAACAAAAATTCTGGCGACTTGTTAGCTCAGAGAATGAGAGTTTTTTGTTGGTGGGGCAGCATTTGCCCAGTGTTATCAGCCAATGATCTCTTCCCCACACCTGGCGGCCAACTTCCAGGTATGCATCCCTGGTTCTGAGGGGCCTTGCCCACACCCTGGAAAGCCTTAGGGAATAGTAGTGGCTCCTTCTTCCCAAGAGCTTTCAGCACCAGGCATTGACTTAAGATCATTGTGAGTCCATTTGATCTTCCTCAAAACCCCATGGGTCACATGCTGTTGTTTCTATGTTACAGGTAAACCAAAATGAGGAACAGGGAGTTATCCAGGTGGTGAGTGGTAGGATTGATTAAACCCGGGAGGGTTGACTCCATTATTTCTTTTTCCTTTCTTTCTTTCTTTCTTTTTCTAATAGAGACAGAATCTCACTCAGTTGTCCAGGCTGGAGTACAGTGGCACAATCATGGCTCACTGCAGCCTCAACCACCTGGGCTCAAGCAGTCCTTCTACCCTACCCTTCCCAGTAGCTTGGATACAAGTGCGTGCCACCATGTCTGGCATTTTAAAAAGATGTTGTAAAAATAGGGTCTTGCTCTGTTGCCCAGGCTGGTCATGACCTCAGATGAACCTCCTGCTTTAGCCTCCCAAAGTGCTGTGATTACAGATATGAGCCATTGTGCCCAGCTACTCCATTCTAAAGCCTGAACTCTTAGCATGCTACCCTGCAGCTGAAAAGGAATCGTGGTGCTTATATACATATGCACCGCTTTGCATGCTGATATTTCCATTCAGTGTTGGGTTATGGATACCTTCTCAGTTCCTACAAAGTTATCCAATCCAAATCATCCTTTTTTTTGAGTTGGGGTGTCACTCTATCACCCAGGCTAGAGTGCAATGGCACAGGCATTGT